CAACCCTTAGAATAGTAAAGCACCAATAGTCTATGAAAACAGCAGTACTGATGGCAGTCTTTGTTTCTGTCTGAGGCTTTGCCTTAGTTTCAGCACACTGGAAGTTCCAGGTTCTCCTTAGGGCAGCAGCAGGTGCTGGGAGGGGCAGACAGCATTTCTTCTTTCCCCTGATGTTACTGCTGTGTTTGACTCTGTCGGCAAATGACCGTGGGAAAAATCTGAAAATGGTCAGAGCAATCACAACATTTGACCCTTCATCTTTAATTAAAGGTCAGAATATTGCACCACAGACACACATTTATTAAATGCAGAATAGGACAACAAGGATTTGTCCTCTTACCACAGAGAACAGAGTTAATCTCTGCTTTCAACTGTGTTTTAAAAGAAAGCGGCCACAACTGTATTGTAAAAACCTAATTTGATAAGGATGTTTTGAAAACAACATCCTAACTACCTAGACTGAGCTCTACCTCCTGGGCAGTTGCCAGTGAATCCTGAGTGGATATAGGAGAGATCGGGATGTGCCTGGCAGGTAAAGGAGACCTTCACCTGTTGGGAAGTTTTTAGTACTGATAGTAAGATTAACAGAGTTTTGAGGCTTTTGAGTTTGCATCTGGAGATGCAAGACAGAGGCATCTATATTTAGATCCAACTTAGATACTCAAGGTGTGAATATGTGTAATGTAACAGTCTAAATTTTATGTTTCCTTCTTATCTGTATCTCTTACGTCTTCAGAGGCCACAGTCTTGTTTCTTTTCCTTTTTCCTCCCTCTGAAGTGTTGCACATTGAACTCCAGAAAGCAGCTGTTTACATTCTGAGTCTTGTACTAATCCTGGCACAACAACAGATTTGATTGTTTATTTGCCAAGTCATCTTGCTTAGTTTATGTGGAATTCATGAGATTAATGCTGTTTTAATAACACGATTAAAAACCAAGTTTAAATAGACATGATTTATTATTAAAACAAAAAAGTATAAGTTGAGCTGTTTTTTTAAGAAGAAGAGATGCAGTTTTATTTATAATGAATTCTTGTAAGTAGTACTAAGACCATTTTAGTTAGGAAACATTACAGTGATTAATGCATAGTTATTTGCATTTTAATACTTGATTTATGTATCAGATCTATATTTGTGCACACTGTCAAACTTTATTCTGTTCCTGTCAAAATACTTATTACTTCTGACAGGTGTAACATGCTCACATTAATCCTTAATTCCTCAATTCAATTTTCTAATTGCTTTTTTGGCATGAGTTTGGAGCCATTGAGTCTTACGTGAACTATTCGTCTTACAGTATAATAATGCACTTTTAAAAATTGGATGCACCTAACTTAGAATGTTGAAAAAAATATATACAGGGATATTACTTAGTACTGAAAATCAGAAGTTTTATAGCACTTCTGAGAGACACTACTTCTTGGAATACAGATGGAGCCAAAACACTTTACACTTTTCATCTTCCCGTATTCACAGTATGAAATATTTTCATAGATACAAATTGATGCTAAAGATTCAGTGCATTTTGCCCAAGGAGATGCTGAACACTTACAGCAGCTCCATGAATATCTCCTGAGTCATTGTTGTGTTCTGCTGCTCTTCTCACCTCTTCAGGCCACTGCTTTCTGTTGCCTGTCCTACCTGCCAAGGGCAACAGAATTCTCAGCTTCTTCTTGATCTGCACTCTTAAGCTGCTCAATTCTGTTATTTATAAACAGCCAAATACAATAATGCAAGATTTGCTGGGGGTTTATGATACAGGTATGAATGTGGCATACACTGTAATGTGTTTTTATGCCAGTAATGGTAATGTTGTCATCTGTCCTTTGTGTAGGGAAAAAATAGCCCTAATTTGTTTCTTATAAACACAGATCCAAAGGATTCTTCCCAAAGCTCAGTATTTCCTCATAAAATCACCTAGCTGGACTTTGTCTGGGTCTTTTCAGGATTTTCAGAAAAAGATTTGAAGAATGTAGAACCTTTTTGCTAATAAAAATCTAAGACCCCAGGAAGATTACTCCTGACACTTATTTTTTGCAAAGTAATGCATGACTACACACTTAAACTGTGGATAAAACCTATTCTCTTTCTTTTTTAATTATTCTCTGTTTTAATCCCTACCCTCTCCATTTATTTCTTCTTTCTATATCCACTGAGTTACTCTTATTTTCTCACTATCAACACTAATATATGTTCTTTCACCCTTTTATTCCTTCATAGTTGTCTTCCAGTCTTTTTCACCTTCCCAACTGACATACCTCTTTCTGTAAGAAAGGGAATATAGGAATAAAAGTTTGTGATTGTCATTTGAGGTTCTTGGCAAAACACATAAGTCACTTTCTGTACAAGGGGAAAAAAAAGATAATTCTAGCAAGTAAATCATGGTAGCTTAGTGCTTTGGGCAAACAAACTTGTGCCTTATCTCTTCCAAAAAACCCGTGGAAAATGCATGATAAATGGCACATTTCAGAGAACATGTTATGTCACTGTGAAATAACTTTGATTCATGATTATGTATTTATCTTTAAACAACTGACAAACCTTAGGGTATCTAAATTATTATCATGTGCTCTATGCTATTGTGGTTTTCTGCTAGCAAACCTGAATGATGTGAGGTAAGATAAGACATTTGCTTTTTCAGTCATAATGTTCTATAAAGAACAAATAAGCAAAATATTGTTACTGTATTTTATAGTTGGATGAAGTCCTCTGAAAAATATTTATCGGAAATCATTTCCTCCAATTGTGTTTTGAAAAGCATTAAAATAAACTTCAAACAGAAAAGGACAGGGCTTGTTAATCAAAGGTTTTATATTACACAGCAAAAGAAAATATCATCATTTGGATTTATAATAAAGTAATTATTCACAAAATTAAAAGGCATAATGATAAATTTGTTCCTTTCAGTTGTGTGTTTGCATAAATTCTCTTCTGAATTACATTTTAAAATGAAGATTTCATTTTCTCTGCCCTTTCAAATAGAAAGGAATCATGTTATTTGATTTTCTGTTGTGACAAATCAGGAAAGATGACTTAAATGCTCTATTGCTTGCATTAGTAATACCAACTATTTTAATTGTAAATGCTGTATAAGGATTCAGATGAGTATAGGAGAAGAGGGCTTTTCTTTTCCAATAATCCACTGGTACTACTTTCGTGCATGTGAAATCAATGCTGCTAATATTAGTAAGGTTCTTAACCTGTTTCCTCCCATTTCTGCATTGCTTTTAGAATCATATCATCCAGCAGTGCCTGTCTAGATGTTTAGCTGATAATAAGTCTGTGGAAGTCAAAAGATATATAACAGCTTACACAAGTTCAGAATCTGTTCTCCATGTCTGTTCCTTTGGCTTACATTGAGCCAATAAGTTACAAAAAAAGTTGTCATTAAATGGTACAAATACAGTACGCTCAGTTTACAACATATTCCTTATGTTGATTTTTTAAAAGCTGGGTTGGGTTTTTTCAGCTGAAGCTTTTGGGGTTTTACTTTTCCATTTCATCATTTGGTAAAGGTTTTAGTGAATGTAAGTTGTCAGTCATTATGTCATGGCAATTCTAAATTAGATGACATTCCTCACCCAAGTTATTTTAATGCTATGGCCTCAAATCAATCTATAGAAATGCCTTTTAAATATGACCATGAAGTAAAAAAAATTCGTATATTTGTCTATTTTTCCATTTATTCTCTGTTTCCTTATCTTCACTGAGCAGTAATAAATGTTGGTTACTTGGAGGTAGAAAAACAGAAAATGATAATCGCTTTACATGATGGAAGTGTCTTTGTTTTCCTTATATCTAGTACTTTGCAGTGTATTTAGCTTGGCTAAGCTATCATTTTTTTCTTAGAATACTTGAATCTGTTGACATTTATGTATACATTGCATTTTGTATGTAAATAGAAAGTTTTATGGCTTTGAATTTTGAATCAAAACGTCAAACTCCTATTTTGCCTTGGTGCATGACAGACATTTAAAACATTTACAAACAAAAAAAAGAAAGAAATACTTATACTGATTTTGACGCAATGTTTTTAGAAATATCTTTAGTGCTTGACTAAACGTTTAAGCTCTCAAAAGTGAAATGCCTATCTCTTAATGAGCACAAAAGATGGAAGCATGTAAATATGGAAACATTGTAAATGGTCATATAACAAATTTATTATTCTATAGCTTTGTAGACTGCTTTGTTTCTTTTTCAGTTCCTACTATCCTCAGTCTTGGTAAATTGAGAACAATATGGCAGAACCCATTCAGTTGAAAACTATCTGCAAATTAAACGATCTATATAGTTAATGAGAGTTGGGAAACAGCACAAACCCCCTGCCAGCAAGAGACTACTATCATAGCTTTGTATGAGATAAAATAAGGTGATAATCACACAGGCAACATTTTCAGAGAGTTTATATGTAAATATAGTAACACTGCACCTATTTTCTGCATATGCAAAAAAAAAAATCAGGAAGGTCCTGCCTTCAAGAAATCATTTGTTTACCGGGACGGGCAGAGAGAAGGCAGAATTACTGGTCTGGGAATCTCAAGAGGTATTGGCTATGTCTAACTATCAGTATATAACATAGATTTGCTCTCATTTTATAGTTTTGGTATTAGGCAGTAATGGATGCTGTTGAAGCACAATTCTTTCACATGGATACTTCTTAACAGAACAGGGGAAACTGTGCTCCTTTCAGATATCAAAAGGTTTTGCTGTTTTCTAAGCTTTAAGTTGATATTACTACATTTAGCGAACTATAAAAATCAGTATAATTTTGTTGTCTTTATGATCTTTTAATTTTTTTCTGTTTGCTTAGGTCTGCAGCGTGGGCTGTTAAAGCCCATTTTTAAGTCAATTAACAGGGTTAGGACAATCTGTTTAAATGCAACAAACTAATTGGGAAAAATATCTTCCTACTGTTACAGTGAAACTTAAAATAAATTAAAGATGTACAAGTAAAAATGGAATGGAAATCTCAGATGTTACAGAAGTATGTTCCTTTTTCAGGGTGCTCCTAAACCGATTGCCATTGAGCCATGTTCAGGAAACAGAGCCGCAGTCCTGACGGTGTTTTTGTGTCTTCCCAGAGGACCATCAGGAGTCCCCCCACCTGGTCAGTCAGGTAAGACTTGTTTGGGTGAGTGTTGTGTCCAAAATAATGGCACAGTGGATGGATACAAGGAGCTACTCAGTCAAGCTGACGTTAAGTGTAGCGCTGATGTTTAATGTAGGAATTTTGGTTTGGAATTTGTTGTTGCATCACAATAAAAAGGCCATTGATTAAACCAGGCTGGTGTACAGTTGAACATCTCATTAGGACTTCAGAAACAAATACCTGTGCATGTCGATATGCTTCAACATTGTCTTTCAGGGCAAAAAAATTTCCTATGTTGCCCCTTCTATAGCTTCAATTCAAGTTATAAATGAGGCTGTATAGGGAATATCAGTGAGTATTCCCAGTTCAAGCTGATATTTAGTGCAGTCTAGTTTTCACAATGAATCCCAACACTTTACTGTCGAGGGCACAATTAGAATATTAGTATTTCCCAGAATGCCTGTCAGATAAAACCTGGAATTGTGTGAGTGAATGCTTCATTAGGGAGGTGTTCACTTTGGAAATGATCCCACCTCTTTTTAAGGCACCACTTGCATTATCTGAAAGCACTTCTTGTGGTAACTTACATTATATGATCTATTCTAGATCATTATACAAAACCATTCTCATAAAATACTTCTCAAACAGAAGGTACCTAAATACACTTTTTAAATCCTTTAAATAACTGCCTGCAATGACATGATACAAAGCAGCCATGACAAAAAAGTGTAGACAGTGATGTGACACTGCACATGTGACCAGTTTACTATTTCAGAATTCACTGGAGCTGTTGTCGAAATGAACAACTTTGTAAGGAATAGTAAACTGCATGGTATGTGCCCAAAATGCTCCTATAAACCAGAAAATATGCTTTCAGGCTAACTTTTATCATTAAGAGCCAAAAAGATATCCTTTTAACCTTCAAAAATCCATTTAAGAGATTAAAAAGTATTGAGTAATGATGAGGGCAAACTCAGTTGACTTGTGTTGGAAATAAGCTCAGCTGGGTGTTCTTCTTCTTTTGGCCTGATCACTATCTGTTATTTATTTGGGGGGTTTAGTTCATTTTTTGAGGGGGAAGGGTGTTATATATTTTTTTCCAATGAGTTCTAAGATGAGGACTTAGTTCTTAAAATGCTGTTTATGGCTTGGAGTATCATTTTTGGAAGTGCTATGAAAATAAAAGTGTTACTGATGCTTTGTCAAATACATTTCCTGGAAGAAATATATAAATATAAGTGCTCTGAAGAGAGCAATGAGAGAGGGAGGATGTTTAGCGTATTCCCTCTTCATGTTTTAAGGAAATGAAGGTGTTTATAGTCTTGCAACAAGAAAAAAATGTTATGAAAGGAAATTAAAAGTAATTGTTGAAATTGGAGATTAAAATGGTTTTGGAGGGGTTTTTTTGTTGTTTTCAAATTTACCTATGATGTGCATCTTAGTAGTAAAAATGTATTTATCTGGTTTCTTCATAATCATCTTCTGTTTACCATATAAAGGAGTTCTTTAAAAGTAATTGCTATTCTTTGCTGTCTGTAATTCATTTAAGGAATAGGCTTTTTTAAACAGGACTTTGGTTCAACAACACATTAGATGTGTAATTCTGAATGTTTCTCCATGTATGAAAGAACATACCTATTTTTTACATGTGTTATGTTCTCCTATTCTGCTCTGTCTTCCATCAGCATTTCAGGCATATGTTTGGAATGCTGTTCCTCCATTTGTTATTATGGTATTTGTCAGCTATTTAGTGTTTAAAAATATATAAATGTTTCAGTGCCACAACTTTCCCTTTGTTCAGGGTCAAAAACAAATAGAAATGCTTGAGGTGTGCAACCATGCTGATTCAACCATTAGAGTGTATTAGATTATATTGCTATAATCATTTTTATCTGGCAGTAATGAATTTTGGTACTCGTGGACTGCTTTCTCTACATGTAACCATGCGTAGACTAGGCAGAAGCTATTATGCAAGTTTGTTGGCATACCTGTAGCTAATTCACTTCATTCCTGTCCTGCAGCACTACCTGCTGCTTCTTTCCTGGGCTTCCTGGGAGCAGATGCTGTGAACACTGCCAAGTTTTTGGAAATGATGTGGAAACTTTGTGCTGCGCACACGTTTGCTATGCAGTTGGTTTCACCTACGACCTAAGCTAGATGAAAACAATGATATTTAGGTGGATAAAGTAGTGTGTTCAGTAATTATGTTGTGCCAAGTAATATTAGAATCCTCTATTACTTGCATATAACCATTTTCAAGCTCATTGGGATCATTCAAGGATAAAGCTGACAGTGTGTCAAGCATTTCTGTTTAAATGATATGTCGATACTGATTCTCAGTTCACAGTGAGAGAGACTGTGGATTTCATTTCTTCCATGCAAATCTCTGAAATATAAGAAGGGAATGCCTGTAGTGTTACTGTTTTTCATCCCATTTTTTCCAGAATCAAGGAAGCAAATTCTTTACACAAATAACTAATCTATGTGCCACTGGAGCTGTTAGTTGTATCCCTAATTTTTCAAGTTCTGAATCTGAGTTTTATTTTTCCAAGTTTTATATCAGCATTTTGTTAAAAAGCGTCTTTGAATATTAAAAAAGAAAACAACCAAACTAAAAACCCCCAAAGAAAAAAAAAACTCTAATGTAAAGGTTGCTCTTTCAGTGGCATATGTTCTATACTTCACCTTTATCAGCAGCTGGAAGAAAAGTTGAAGCTACAGATGGTGGGCTTTGGCCAAAGGCTATGCACAGCAAAAATTTCTCTAGCAGAGACCATATGTCCCAATGGAAATCTATGTGTTCCCCACTTCCTGTAGAAAATACTCAGAACTTTACAGACTTTCAACAGCATTGTTTAGCTCTAAGTGCTAATTCTGTAAGTATACAAGTAATAGCTTGGTTGGCACAGTTAAACTGCTTAAAATTAATCTGTGATTTTAGACAGATTTTATATGGATGGGTCACGCAGCTTTAGTCAAAATATTGATAAAAATGAGTTTATTGCAAAAGAGGAAAACTATTCATTGTGACTCATGTTTTTAAAAGGGACTTTTTCAATGAAGGAACGACTTGTAGAATTAAAAATCCTGAAAATCTGGAAAGTCATTGTAGTAGGCAGACCTTACGTTTTCTTTTAGGTATAAGCTAAGAATTCAGTTATACTTCTCTGGAGTACCAACTGGTTTTAAATGAAATTTTGCTTGGATTAAGGCAAAAATTAGAACCAAAGTATAAATTAGAATGATCAATGAAAAACATTAAGGAAGTTAAATTTTTCAGGTTTGGACCGAGTGATAGAACATGTGGTTTCTTCATTCTTCAGTTGTCTCATTGACAGCACGGTACCTTTGTAGTCAGATCAAAAATAAAAGGTTCAAAAACATAGCAATTGTCTGTACAATTCCTGTGTGCATCAATATGAATGCATCAGTGTAGTGCACATATGACAAGGTTTATGATACATTTGAAGCTAGAGATCATAATTTATTGCTGTAGTGTCTGACCCCATGCTTTAAATAGCTTATACTCTTCTTAATATCAAAGCAGATCTAATAACGAGAGCAGTTGCAACCAGATCTCTAGAAAGAACTAAATTATACATTGCACAGGGTATTGAACAAAGCAGGTTAGACTGAAACAAAACTATAATATATGAAGTAATGCAGAAAAAGGTGCCAATGAGCTACCAGCAGTGGAAGGGCCAAGAATAACTCCTTCAAGGTTTTCATAGAGTTTTGGTGATATATTGGGCAATACAGAAAGAATAGTTTGGTAATATTCTATTAAAAGAACTGAGATCATGTCATCGTTACTACTAAAGCCAACTAAATCCCGTGCTTTGAGGTATTGAGTTATTGTACAATAAGTTTACAAAATAACATTTTTATCATTCTTGGATAAGGCCACTAAATGCCGTAAAGCACAAACAGAAATGAGAATATTAAAGCATTTCAAAATAATTCAGAATCAAGGAGTGTAATTTCTGAATTATTTGCAGGTTATGTTACTTTCACACGGCAGCATTTCCTTATCTATAAAGAAGGTAAAAATGGTAGAACACCCAGTAAAGGAGCTTCCCTATTAAAGCAGTGAGCTGAATGGTCTCTGCAGGTCTGCATATGTGTCTCTCTATTAAACCTTAATGGATATCTAACATCTATATGGCCATGACTAGGTGAGGTGAATCTAACTTAATAGGTAAAATAACACTTGGAAATTAAATGGAAATTAAAATAGAAGAGTACGTGCAGTATTCTGTTGCTATAAGTATAAATTAAGATGGCAAAATCTAGTGTTCCCCAGGCCTCTCCAACGGTGCTATCTGAAACATCCTGTCTGATATCCTTGACTCAAAATAGAATTTCATGTAGTTCTGGCCACACTAACTGTGGCGTTCAATCCTACTTAATCAGCAAGCTAGAGTAGGATCACAGAATCAATAAAACTACCATGCCATCTGCCTTCCCTGTACTCACCATCATAATGAATAACGACTCATTAAGTGTTCTACAAGACAATTAGCTCTGGATGAAAACAGTAACAAGACCTTCTTGATTCTATTTATAATTTTCTCTGATTAAAATATAAAAAAGCTAATGTATATCTTAAGAGACACATTAATAAATATGAATTAACTACTAGTTTTTATAGACTATTTTATTTACTTATATTGCTCAATTTTTATGACCCTTGGAAGCAAAACCATAGGTTATATTTTTCATATGTAGAGGGGGTTCATATGTGTACCTATCTCAGTATGCAGTGAACTAATTGCAGATATGCACTGGGGCATGTAAGTCCTATGAATTTCTACCTGCTACAAACACATTCCTTGCTCAGTCCTTTCATACGTGCAAAATAACTTAATAAAATCAGTAGTGCTACAAAGGTGAGTAGGGATTTTGTTCTAGAAAAATTTAAGTAAAAGAGATAGATGAAAATATACTGTAATTAAGACATACAGAAGGTGGTTGAATCTCTTATGGTCTTTTTTTTTCATGTTGGAGAATTACAGAATATTAAAGGT